TTGCTTGGAAGCAAAATATGAAGAAATGATGTGTGGCTAAAGACTTTTGCACATGAACATTCAGAAAGTAAACAAGCATTTTGATACACGACCAATTTACCATCTGACTAAACAGCTCTATCCAATAAATATTCTGTTTTGAGCTATTTTAAATATGCTTGTTCATTATTTTTCCTAACATTATATATATTATTAAAAACAATCAGTCAAATGTTTAGAGAACAGAAATCTGCTGTGAAAATAATTTAAAAAAGATTAAACATTTTCCACTAAACATGTATGTTCAAAGCTTCATTTTTTATTTATTAGTTTTCTTTTCATCCCCGCAGCAGTCTCTGAGTGTCGTTATCATCATCAGCCTCTCGTTGCTTACGACAGCAATAGGACAAGAAGAGCGCACCTAACAGGATGTAGGTCAGGTTGGTGCTCCAAAATGCAAACAGGTAGAGCGTCTTGTTGCAGTATGGATCAGCTTCTGTTGTGTTTTTATTGTAGTTCGGTTCGTAAATGGAGTAGATCATCACATTACCTGGAGAAATATTAAAAAAAAGAAAAGAAAAAAAAAGAGAGACTCAGAGGTGCTTGCTCACTAAGAAAGTAGTGCTGTAATGCATTAATTCTTATGCCACAAGAAAATCAATTCGTTCCACAACATTAACAGCTTCTCAAATGTGCTAACTCATTATTTTTTGCTTTGATGTTTAAAGCTGCACAAATTCATTTCCGGCCACATGAGAGGGGCCAAAAACCCCTCTTTATTTCTCTGTTATGAATGATCTATTTGAACTTTTAAATCAGTGAACCAGTTATTAAATGTAAGTCAACGGATCTGTTCAGAGCTGAAGTTTTCACGTACTTGAAATAAAATAAGGAAATAGCTCCTCTTTAAATTTCTTTTGAATAAGCATGTCTTACACTTCCAGTAAACAAAGGGAAACAATAATATAAGACTCAACAATTAATTTTTATTCTCTGTCAGAGACACAAGTCTGAGATCTCTATGTCACATACCCATTCATGCAATCAATATGAGTACTACTGTACTGTCATGGGGACATTCAGGACTTTCTGTTGATACCACATTTGTGCGGGTTGTGCTAACAGAGCACATGGACTTTGCAGCTTCCACATTTCATGGCCACAGCTGTCATGATTCTACTGCAGAAACTGTCTTTATCAGTTCAGTTTCAACTCTACTGAAATTACCTTCAATTTTTTTTTTTTATTTACATAGCATGAAACATGAAAACAACACAGCCGCCAAAAACATGTGGTCCTCTGATTACATCTCACAGAAAACAGACAACCAGGTTTAAGGAAATAAAAAAATCAGAGCACACAAACCAGAGGGAGCTGCTCATTTCTGAAGGTATCATTAAAACCGAAACCATTCTTCAGCATATATGTGGTCACAGCATTGCTACCTCAGGCTACCTAAGATATGAATTTACTGGTTTAGGCAGATTCTTGAAGATTAGGCTCTCTAGAAAGCGGGAACTCTTTTAAACAGAATGCAACAAGGCTGCCTCGGTCTGTAAGACCATGGAAAGATCATTGATTTTACAGGCTGGTGCAATATATTGTTACGTTACATCCTTCTGTGATCAAACAAGACCTGATGCATCACACGTCTAAAGATGATAAGGAACAAATAAATGACAATTTTAAAAAAAATGATGGAACATGTTTCTTTCAAACACAATACTTACATTACCCTCAAAAATCTAAATATGAAAATATGTTTTTCCTGGCTCTCAGTAGGTTAATCTTATTTTCCCCGCATGCACTGATAGATGGTTACTTAATCATATTATTAGCTCTAGTTTTTATTTTAGATTTGCAACATCAGCTACTCTTTTGCTCTTTTGTTTCGCTTTGCTACTCATCTAACTTGGTTGGGAAATTAAAAACAAATCTGCTTTGCTTGTGCAGGCTGTCTGTAATATTTCTAAAATCATCTGACTTTTGCTGCTAAGAAACTGGATTCAGCTCTCAAAGCTCACCTGTGATGAACCAGCAAACATAGAAGATGATGGCCACAGAGCACAAAACAATGTTGCAACAGTTGTAGCACCAGCTCAGTGCCAACAAGATGGGTATGAGTATGAAAAAACACATATAGACGGGGATGAAGGGCTGCCTCGGACAGTCGGTGCTGTACACCAATCCTACAGGGCACAAGAATAAAGATAAAGATGAGTGTCTTTATTAAACGCCTTTGATTATTTGATCTTTCAAACTTTGTTTCCGGCATATAAAATAAATTCAAACATCAGTAGATGCATCTCTCACTTACCAACTACCCCTTGAGCAACGAATATGATATCGAAAATCACCAAGGTACAATCTGAAGGAAGGGAGTGATATTTTTAGTCATAAATGACACCATGCAGCAGCTGCAGATGGGCAAACATGTTTCTAATTACTCTCTTACTTAATATTACTGCCCAAGGCCTGCAGACGTGTTGTGACCTGTTGCTGTCTGGCATTATGCCTGGATAGAAATCAAACATACGAAGACACAAAGAGAGCCACATGATATTCCTCCGCCAGTCATCTCTATTTCTCAGTTACATAGCAAAAGAAAAAATATTTGTTGAAGAAGGACCAGCTCACCAAAGAAAAGTTTCATTTAAAACTTATTTATCACTGCAGGATCTAAACGCACGTCAGTATAGTCAGGGAATGAAACTTATATTATGTATTTTGTGAAAGGATTAAAGTGAGATTTTTTTGCAGGCCTACCTGTTTGTGTGTCTCACCGGACTCCTTTGGAAACATGACAAGGACTGTTGTTAGAACTTGGTGACATTTAATGTGGCTATGTGGGCAAGAGCATATTGTCTAACTTCCTTTTACAGTGTTTTCACGTTAGTGTATGCCTCTTTGTGTTCCCATTATGGTTATATGAATGAGATTTCACAGATTTTAGAGTTATTGGGTTTTTGGTGTATGGGTTTCCATAAGCTTCACGTTGGATAGAAGAGCTCACAGAAACATTAGCTTACATTATCACAAAGCTTCTGATAATTATTCCTTATTTATAGTTTTCCTTTTGCTGTGTGTTTCTCAGCAGAAATGAAATCTGTTTGCTGTCCCAAATTGCACTTTCTGTTTTCAGTTCCCAGGCTGATGTTCTGTGTTTTTTTTTTAAATATTGGTTTAGTATGTGAAATAAAAATGTTTTTCCCCGATGCAACAATTAACAGGAAGTGAAAAAGATACAGTAAGCTATTAAACTGGATGTTTTTTTAAATCATCTATTTTGAAATGTAAAAAAACAAACAAACCCAAAACACCACAGATATTGAAAAATTAACATATTAGAACATGGAGTGTATGTAAATAGTCTTAATAGTAGTCTAAACGAATATATATATAAAAAATATGGAAAACAGTAGTTTGTAAAATCTACTAATAAATCTTTGTCATGATAACAAGGAATAAGACTTACAGACAAGCGAGGAGAATACTACTGCGGTCAGACCACACTCAAGTGAAGACTGAAGGGCAGGTCCCAGCTTAAATAGTAGTCTGCTGATTGCCAGATGATTCACAGGTGCTTGATTGCTTCAGGTGCCTCGGGGAGAGGGTGGACATTCCAGGAGGAACACATACACAGTAACCCCGCCTTAACATGAGCCTCCTGGGGACCCACTGGGTTTATGTGGATGACTATGATAGAAGTCCCAGAGCATGGTCTTATCCAGAACTACCGACCGAGGGATCCAGGAATGCTCTACTGGACAATGTCTGACATCCATGATGCGTCTCACTGAGTAGGATATGGGATATGGGACAAAAACACTTGGGCCACGGTTGGGTAATTGGTGATGCTAAAGGGCTTGACCAAGTACTCAAAGTGGCCCTGATGGGTGTTAAATTTTTCCACTGTCCCCCCCTCTCGTATCAGAACCAGGTGATAGGCGCTACGGAGATCCAGTTTTGTGAACATGGCTGCTACTTGTAGTAGCTCGAAAACAAAATTGTGAAAAGGCAAAGGGACTGGAGGACCATGGCTGTGTCCAAATTCAGGGGTTGTATCCTTCGAAGGCTGCAATTTCAGGCCGATTAAGTCACAGCAAAATAGCTAGGACTTTCCAAATTCTCTATATCAGTCATCCACCAAGGACATAGCTGCTACTGTTTTCGTTGCTAGACAACAGGACCCTTCAATTAAACCGTCGCACGTCCGGTCTTCACGGCCTTCGAAGGACTCGGTCTTACATTGTGTACTTAAATAGAAGTACAAATACTGCTGTTAAAAAATACTCTAGTAGAAGTTGAAGTACTGTAAAGAGTAGCTCTTTGGAGGATGTTTCTATTTTTTGGTGAAAAGCTGAACTTTGTGCTTTATCAACATAATGATAAATAATATCAGTAGATAGGAATAAAAACTTTAGTCTATTTTTTTTTATTCTAATTTTCTCAGCTTGAATCTGATAAAGGGGAAGAATGAAAATGATAAATATATTTGTATTTTCTGTTGCCTCCAGTTTAGAGGAGGACTTTGCCTCTGAACAGAAAAATGTGTACAGTCAGTTAGGTGGATTTAGCAGGTGGGGGAAAAACTGGTTTTAATCGATCAGTGTGGGGAAAAAAATCTTAACTCACATTAATTTGTACTGAGAGCTCGAGTAGATTTGCAGGCTGTGATCAGCTGACCTGCTGCTCTTTGAGGATGTAAACACCTGAATTATACCTGATGTGAGCAGATGTTTCATGAGTTGTCCTGGCTGATTTCCATCCTCTACACTGCCAGTAAACTCATCTTTTTTCTACATGGTATGAAGGTGGAATTCATTGAATGAATTTAAGGAACTTCAGCTAAAATTCAAATGAATCTCTGCTGAATCTCAGTTGACGTGACCTCACTCTGAGCATGAAACCACAGCCACTGTGTACCTGACACTTAAAAAACATCACTCCCTTTATCCTCACTCCTCCTCAGTAGGGTTAGCTAGATGCTGAAATACTACAACTTACAGATACCAGCCATCATTCCTTTGTGGTGGCAAAACAAAACAAACAACAAAAACACGCAGTCCCACTTTTAACCCCTGACTTTGGTCTTCCATGTGTTTCTGTTCAGGCTCAAAGGCTTCAATTCCTCTTTCACTCCCTGATTTGTAGTTAGATACTAAGTTGTTCCCACACAGAGCTCAGAGATCTGCAGAAAAGGTAGGACAGATATTTTATACTAATGAGCAGCTTAAAAGAGTCAGTAATCTTTGAGCTCATGATACTTTGGTATAAGTGTTATCAGGAAGACGTGCAGCTGCAATGATAGATACATTATTAATATTATTATTGTTATTATTATACTTCAACTGCAGTAACAAAATAAGCAGACTTAATGATGCATGTCACTTAGGCTGGATGCTAAATAAACATATCCATCACCGTAGATGTGACAGCTTACACCTGTTTTACTTTCTGTGTTTGAAACAGTGTTATTCTGGTATTTAATATGTTATATAATTTCGATATAGCATTTTACATTTCTGGCTTCCTAAAAATGCTGTATCATTTCGAAAATGCTGCTTTCAGTTTGCCTGAGTTGTGTTTTTACGCAAGTCACATCAGGCCTCTCCACGCCATCTTGTGGAGAGGCATGATGTTACTTCACCTGCTCTGGCTATTTCTGAAGTGATCGGCCATGAATTTGAATTTTGGCATCAAAGTTCAGACCTATGTGCACAATTACAGCAGGTTTTATTACTGCAAAATTTAGTTTTATTTATATAGTGCAAAATCACAGTCACAGCTTTCTCAAAATGCTCATGTGGCCATTAAGTTCTGCATAGTGACGTATCTATTGTTCAGTTGTACTCTTAAAGTATAAAATATATGCTAACATCTGTATTTCATTGGCAGCTTATTCAGTTATTATAAGGTTATAAACATAGACACCACACAGACTTTATCAGACACCAGTTTTAAAGATGCAAAGAACACATGCATGGCCTTTATGTATGTGTGTGTGTACATTCTTAGTAGTTTCTTGCACAGTGAACTTTTTTGTCTGTACTGCACATAAATAAAATGTGTGAGGTCTTCATAGTGATTTACATGAAGCTAAAAATCCTGTTATCTGTATTTGCGATTTATCTCCTCCAGCCATGGCTGTCCAACAGCAGCCCACCCAGGTGATGACAACTGCCAACGCTGGGCAGTGGACCACCGGCCTTTGTGAATGTTGTGTTGATATGGAGACCTGTAAGTCAACCGAGCTATTTCTGCAAACAGCAGCGATTAGTGCATCAACCGTCTCCTTAGACTTTGCAATCATTTAGCAGAGAGTCTAAAGTCAGTAAATATTCAAGAATTTCTTCAAGCAGTGAC